AGTCGTGGATCTACTCACGGTTCATGGAAAACAATAAAAAGAACAGAGAAAAGGAGATAAAAGAAAGGAGAGAAAAGCTCATGTAGATGTGTAGTCTCCACGATCGAATCTTCCTTCTTCTTCCTGAAATCCCGTGAACTCCTATTCTTCTCTCAACAAAAGCTCTCCAAAAGTCTGTATCTAAGTGTTCTCTAAGGCTCTCCTCTGTACTAGGACGTGGCTAGGTGTTTTTTATAACCCTAGGGCGGCTCCCAAGAGTCTTATTCCCATTCTGATGCTGAAAATCACGAAACAGGGTTTTTGACTGGATCCGGGCCGATTCCAGGTGGATCTGGACCGGATCCAGATTCCTGGAGTCGAATTCTGCGTTCTTGATCCGGACCGGATCCAACTAGCAGTTTCAATGGTATATCTCGCACGATTTGGACCTCTGTAGAGAAAGTTATTGATGTCACAACATGAGTACCTCATCCGAACTTCTCCTTTGACGCTCCAATTAGCTCCTTTTCGAGTCCAATCATCTCCGAAACCTGTAACTCTGCAAAACTAGAGCACAAGCAGGTTTTGTATCCTAACAAGCCTAGAATGCCTATGAATGCATGTGATTATCCTATAAAACCTAGACAAACTCTCATCAAAATATAGAGAAGAATAGGAGTTATCAAGAATCTACGAATATCGAACTCTAATCGGGGTTCTCAAATTCTAAAATCAGATTTGGCTCTCTCAAGTCCTAAATCCACTATCCAATAATTTAACATATCGATCTCTCAACCTAATAGATTAAAATATAAAATGCATTAACGATCACTATCATAGTTCCTAAACCGATTAACCTATCTTTCAATAGTCTTAATCAATTCATTCAATAAATTCGTTCCGAATCTAATCTCAACTATCGTTGCAAAACAGAATCTAAAATCAATCAATCAACTGACCAAGAAAATTAAAAGCAATAAACTCAATTCAATCAATCCGACGAGTATTAATAACGTAGTCTCGGAAAATAAAAACCAAATAAATCCTTACAAGGTTAAATCCCTAGCTACAGTGAAACAACTACTCGCAGTGATCTCTCGACGACGCTTCTTCAATCTCTGCTCTCGGAAAACTCCGTCTTGATTCTCTCTCGAGTTCTCTGGCTTCTGTTGTGATCTCTTGATGATTTGTGAAGCAAAGACGTCCTCTGTTTATTGGATTGGTGGCTAGGCTCCTTCCTTTGCTGAAAACAGAAGTTCGGATGCAAAATAGAAAGTTTTCCCGTAATGCAACACGACCGTATCGAATGCAACATGGTCCGTGTCAATTCTCTGAGTAAAATTTTAGTTTTTCAGCAACTCAACACAGGCTGTGTCGAATGCAACACGGACCGTGTCAATTCTCTGACCAAAACTCCACTTTTTTCAGCACGGACACAACACGGTTGTGTCGAATGCAACACGGTCCGTGTCGATCCTTTGACTCAAATATGCTTGACAGATTTGCTCATAACTTTCTGTTCCAATGTCGGATTTGCGTGATTTTGGTGTCTATGCGTAGATATTGAGACGAGATTTCCAATGATGTAGAAAACGCATGATTTGGACTTGTAGAGTGAATGTTATTGAACTTGAAAGATTTGACATTTTTAGACTTCACGTTTTGCTCCGGAACAACTCCAGATGTTTCTGTTTCGTCCGTGATTTTCCGCGATCCATATTTTCCACTCCTTTTGCTCTCTTTTATGCATGAATACCTATTTTAATACCAAAGAAAGCAACCAAGCAATATCGAGGCCAAATGTGCTCTAGAATGCCTATAAATGTGCAACTAGACATCTTATACCAAAATATCACCAAAACACATGTTATCAAACTCCCCCAGACTTAATCTTTTGCTCGTCCTCGAGCAAATAGGAAATGGAAAACACCTGAGAAGAGGGCGAGACAATGATACGAATCAAAATGATAATCGAGAGCGAAACCTCTATCTGATCTAGATCCACGTGAACCATGACCAAGTCTGTCTAGTATGATCTCCCTCTCTAAAGGAAAGTCTTTCCTAATTATGGGATCTATATCGCTACCTAGAACCATTCCAAGGACTTCAATCATCTATCAAGCATGTTTCTCGAACCTATCACACCATTTTGCTTAATCATATCTAGTCTACATTTTCGGCATTCATTCTTTTTCTTTTTTCTTTTTCCTTTTCATCTGACTAGATTTTTTTTTCTTTTGTTGTCATCTCGGGTTCCTAGAACGTTGAAGTTGAAGGATTTATAATCTTTTTTTTTATTTTGTTCATTGGATGACCCGACTCACAACTTAGACTCGAACCATCTAATCGATGCACTCATATCCTCGAACGATTTTTGTTGACGAGATCATGACATCGGAGTCACAACTTAGACCCGAACCATCTAATCGATGCACTCATGTCTTCGAACGATTTTCGTTGACGAGATCATGACATCGGAGTGTCGAGATGCTTACTATCTTTGATAATAGACTTTACCGATTTCAGCAAACATGAGGACGATTCTTATAAAAACGTTTCTACTCGGCTAGACAACATCGGTCCTATGGGTTCCAACCAACGATTTCTATCTCACGAACCATTTTAGACAATCCTAAAGATCAAGCAATCAATTCAACAAAACTTAACCATGTTTAACGGATCGCCATGTTTTCAAGACAGTTTTATGCACATGCAACTAAAAATTGAAAAAAAAATCAAAAAATTATCCTAAAAAGAGAAAAATGCATGCAATACTACTCTAAATAGATATGGTTTGGCGTTAGACGAATCCTCCCCCAGACTTGAACCGGACGTTGTCCTCGGTGTCAAATCTCTTCTAGTAGAGGCAACCAATAAGATGAGTCAAAAGAGAAGCAAATCAAAAAGGGAAAAGAATACTTAGCTCGCGATGTTCGTTCACTCGCACTTAAGTCTGCCTACGTCTATCGCATACCTAGCTTCCTCGCCTCCTCAATTCCTCATTAGAACTCAACCTGGTGATAAGAGACACAAACCAATATTCGATGCAAAAAGAAAAAGAAAGGAAAGAAAAACTAATCTAAGAACTTGGGTTGCCTCCCGGGAGCGCTTGTTTAGGGTCTTTAGCTTGACAAACTCTCTCAACTATCGGATGGGTCTAACAGGCGAAGATTATCGATCTTCTGCCAACCTGGATCATAAAGTTTAAGAGCATCTCTACAACAAAATGAGTTTGAGAAACGAGGCGTACCTAGTAGAGAAAAATCTGGTGGTGATGCATGAGATTCGAGCCAGTTCTCACGATGGTCTGAAGAGTTAGTGACCTGCTCAACCATGTTAGCTTCTTTCTTACCTTTCATCCTATTTGGATCTGGTCCTCTCTTAACCTTGTGTCTATGGTCCTGGTTCTTGGGCGTTTTGAGCTTGTAAACTAAACAAATAGATTTCACACTTTCGTCTGGATTGTCATTTTGATTGAGCATGAATTCTATTGTCTCATCTCCAATGGACATAGTAAGATGATCAGCTCTGACGTGTATGACGATATCTGCTGTGTTGAGGAAGAGACGCCCCAAAATGATAGGCATACTTGAATCTACATCTATATCAAGAACCATAAAATCGACAGGTATGTAATAGTCACCCACCTTAAGTGGCATATCCTCTAGTATACCTGCAGGCTGTTTGGTCGACCTATCTGCCAACTGTAATATCATTTGTGTGGGTTTTAGTTCACCTACATCTAGTTGCTTGAAGATCGACAGTGGCATTAGACTTACGCTTGCTCCGTGCTGAAAAATGGCACTGCACTCTTTGGTTAATGATACTATCTTTCTCTCCACTGTCTTCTTCCTAGACAGAATATCCTTGAGAAATTTGGCATAAGAGGGCACTTGAGTGATTACCTCATGAAAAGGCATTGTGAACTCCAATTTCTTTATCATGTCCGTGAAGCGCTTAAATTGGCTAGCCTTTTTGTGTTGCACAAGTCGTGAAGGGAATGGAACCGGAGGAGGTCTGGAAGGTGGGGGTACATACTTTGGTTCTTCTTCACATGACATCTTAATTGGAGTATCTGCAGATTGAACGTTAGAGGTGATCGCAAATCTAGAGTTAGAAGACTCACCTTTTTTAGGAGTAGGGGGGACGATATCCTCAAGTTACTTCCCGCTTCTCAAAAACACTACATTGCAGTGCTCTCTAGGATTTGTCTCGGGTTTACCGGAAAGTGATCCTTGAGATCGCGAAGGTATAGAGGTCACGAGTTGAGCTATCTGGTTATCGACAAGCTTCAAGTGAGTGTCGGTCTCTTGTTGATGTTCACGCATCTCAATGCGAATTATTTCTTGACCCTGCAGAAGCTGTGCAAACATAGATTTAAGATCGAGGGCAGAATCTACCTGTTGTGGAGGTAGAGACAGAGAATAATTATGTTGAGACTGAAGAGGTAATGACGCTAGGCGTTAGGTAATGTTGAATGGCCTGATTCTGATACTGTGGGAGGACTCGAGGTCGAGGTTGATGTCCTTGAGAAAGATCCTGATTAGCCGAACCACCGAAATTTCCATGGGGAGTATTCAAGACGTTGGAAGAATTCTTGAACGAGAAGTTTGGATGATTCTTCCATCCTGGATTGTACACGTTCGAGTACAGGTTGTTATCTACGTAGTAGACGTAGTAGATCATGTACCCGTTGGCTGATGTGTCTAAGTCTGAGATCTGATGGACATTCTCAACCTGCATTTTAAGTTTTGCCAATTCTGCACGTAATGCCTGAATTTCAGATAGACTTTCCTTACCTGCACGACTGTCTTTGAGGCTAACGTTTCTGATAAACTCGTGAGAAGGAGCACACTCGTTGGCCATCTTGTTGATCTGTTGCTCTATGAAGTCGAATGACTTTTCGTTGAGGCTTCCTCTACATGCTACTCGAATAAGAATCCGAGTATCCTCCTTTAATCCCTGCAAGAAAGTGGAAATAAGGTACCTTTTATCCCTTCCATGGTGAGGACATGTTCTCTGATATCCTTGAAAACGATCCCAAGCTTCACGCAAGGATTCGTCAGGTTCATGCAAAAATGAGTTGATTCGTTGTTTTGCGAGTTGGATCTTGCTAGCGGAGAAGAACCGCTGCATGAATTTTTCTTACATATGTTCCCATGAGAAGATGAAATCTGGAGGTAGTATGTAGAGCCATTCCAAAGTAGTATCCATTAAGGAGAACGGAAAGGCCATGAGCATGAGAGACTCATCGGTAACTCTGCAGAATGTCCTCGCTGACTGGCATAATAGCTTGAATCGAGTCAAGTGAGGGATCGGGTTCTCATTAGGTCTGCCCCTGAAAGCCGATGAGCTCAGCATATTGATGAATGCCGGTTGAAACTCAAAATTGTTACGGTCGATGTCATGCCGGCGAATGCATGAGAGCTGTTGAATGTACTTGGGCTGAAGGTATGCCCCATAAGTATCATTGTTGTTCTCAGCAACTATAGCACGTTCCTCCATTTTTCTCTTTTGTCGTTTCTTCTTCCGATTGCGCTTAGCAGACTTCTCGATTTCAGGATCAAGAGGTACTAGGTTGTTAGACCCAAAACTTCTGGTCATACACCGGGAAACTTGCAAACCAAAAAGTAGAACGAACACAAAGAATAGATCAAGAAATCGATAGAAAACATAAAGGAAAAAGGATCTAGATTCAAAGGAATCTTTATCCTAGCACTAAACTGTTTCCCGACAACGGCGCCAAAAACTTGATAACACAAATCTAGGTGTATAAATAAGCTCAAGTAATAAAAACCTAGATACAGCGAATACCGCAAGGATACGGATCAACTGTAGTACCAGGGTCGAACACAGGGAATAGTTAGCTCCAAGAATAAGACTCAACCAAGAATCAGATCAAGAAATAGCATATGAAGTATGTGAATATCGGAAATAAAACAATAAACAAACTAAGTAAAATCAGATAACTAAACCACCGTAGTTTCGGGATAACCTTAACGCGCAGGGATTGTTTCTAAGGATGGAGAATCTACGAATATCGAACTCTAATCGGGGATCTCAAATTCTAAAATTAGATTTGGCTCTCTCAAGTCCTAAATCCATTATCCAATAATTTAACCTATCGATCTCTCAACCTAATAGATTAAAATATCAAATGCATTAACGATCACTATCATAGTTCCTAAACTGATTAACCTATCTTTCAATAGTCTTAATTAATTCATTCAATGAATTCATCCGAATCTAATCTCAACTCTCGTTGTAAATCAGAATATAAAATCAATCAATCAACTGGCCAAGAAGATTAAAAGCAATAAACTCAATTCAATCAAACCGACGAATATCGATAACGTAGTCTCAGAAAATAAAAAGCAAACAAATCTCTACAAGGTTAAATCTCTAACTACAGTGAAACGACTACTCGCAATCCATAACAACAAATAAGTTCAAATCAATAAGAAGAAACATAGAAACAGATAGAGAAGAAACTCTCAGTGATCTCTCGACGACGGTTCTTCAATCTCAACTCCCAAAAAACTCCGTCTTGATTCTCTCTCGAGTTCTCTGGCTTCTGTTGTGATCTCTCGATGATTTGTGAAGCAAAGACGTCCTCTATTTATTGGATTGGCGGCTGGGCTCCTTCCTTTGCTAAAAACAGAAGTTCGGATGCAAAATAGAAAGTTTTTCCGTAATACAACATGGCCATGTCGAATGCAACACGGTGCAAAAAAAAAAGTGAAATTGTCCACTAATTGTAACAAAAAAAAAGGAATCGGATAATTCTTTTATAATGAAAAAAAAAAAGAGAGAATGGAGCTGTGGTGGTCCCCTCCGGACCGCCTGGATCCCACGAGTGAATGGTTGGGAAGTTAAATCTTGTTAATTCTCTGAGTAAAATTTCAGTTTTTCAGCAACTCAACACTGGTTGTGTCGAATGCAACACGGACTGTGTCAATTCTCTGAGCAAAACTCCACTTTTTTCAGCACGGACACAAAACGGCCGTGTCGAATTCAACACGGTCCGTGTCGAATTCAACACGGTCCGTGTCGATTCTTTGACTCGAACATGCTTGACAGATTTGCTCATAACTTTCAGCTCCAATGTCGGATTTGCATGATCTTAGTGTCTACGCATGAATATTGAGACGAGCTTTCCAATGATGTATAAAACACATGATTTGGACTTGTAGAGTGAACGTTATTGAACTTGCAAGATTTGACATTTTTAAACTTCACTTTTTGCCCCGGAACAACTCCAGATGTTTCTGTTTCGTCCGTGATTTTCCGCAATCCATATTTTCCACTCCTTTTGCTCTCTTTTATGCATGAATACCTGTTTTAACACCAAAGAAAGCAATCAAGCAATATCGAGACCAAATGTGCTCTAGAATGCCTATAAATGTGAAAAACCGAGTAAAATGCACTAGACATCCTATACCAAAATATCACCAAAATACATGTTATCAGTACCAAAGACGAAATCCTTTCACCCCTGGTGTAATCCCCATGAACAATGACTTCCTGGTTCTAGGATCCAACTTAGATTCCTTCACATGATAGTAAACAACCGAACAGAATATGTGTAAGGAATCATAATTATTAACAGGTTTTCCATGCCAAACTTTCATGGGTGTCTTGTCTCTATTTGCAATAGATGGTAACCGATTGATGAGATGACTCGCATACATCACACCCTCAGTCCAGAACCGTTTATCTAATCCAACATTAGACAACATACACCGAATCTTCTCCAGTAAAGTTTGGTTCATGCTGTTGGGTTCCCTTCGGGTTCCTAGCATGCGATCTCATCGATCTAGGGTTTGGTTTCTAGGTTTCATGCAGCGGAAGGAAAGATCTAAATCTAGCCAAACGTCACACAAAACCAATTGTGCAATAACCCGAACAATCGTGTATATCGTCGTGGGATTCGAATACTTACTGTTGAAATAGGAAAATGAATATGTGATTGAAGGAAATATTGATTTTAAGATATGATTAAAAATAATAATGGACATAATATTATATCAAATATTGTGTATCGATCTTATTTATTTCTATTTCCTTTTTATTTCGTCTTATAGTTTTCCTATAAATATTTGAATCATTTTTATTGTAATTCAACAAGAAGAAGAAGAGATGTAGCAATAAAGTAATTCCGTTTATTTTCGTTTGTCTTATTTTATTTCCGCATTTTATTTTTCTACACTTACCTCGTTCTTTCAAGATCTGGAAGTATCAATCGATCCAGGGCCTGTTTTAATCACCAAGAGTTGAAAGCACAACTCCTCTACACGTATCCACACCGGCGGGATGAATTCCAACGCTTTGGAACGTATCTGCTAGGATTTGTGAAGAGAAAAACCGATGTCCTTGACTTGGAATCGATATTCCAATCTCTATAACTCAAAATCAAGCTTCTCTAAGCTCTCTTCTGAATCTGGGACGTATGAGGTTCTTCTTTTTAGGGTTTGTGGCGGCTCTCTATTAATTAGGATTGCCCAAAACCCTTAAAACGCGAAAACCGAAAACTGCCCGTAAGTCGGACCGTCCGTTCCAG